GAGCCCCACGTTGGGCCTAAAGCTTACTTAAAAAAAAATAATAATCCAACAGCTATGATGATAATTGATTGCAGGGAGAAGAATGGAGTTGCAGTAAACCAGGCCAGCAATGCCAGTAATCTGCAGTGAGGTTGTTATAGTGGAAATAAAAGTAATCCAAGATAAAATTCTGGACTTTGATATCTCCTTTATTTTTGCTACTAACATACTATCAATCATGACATCTTATAGGTTACAATGTTTATAGTTTCTCACACACAACTCCCTATTTCCCTGTTCCAACTGACCCAATCCAGGCCTTTGTTACCATTCACCTGCATGATTGGAGCAGCTTCATTCCTGATCTTGATTTTCAGTCAAGCTGTTCCAATACAATCCTCACAGTGTGGCCAGAGCAAACTTTCAAAAACTACACTGAACATGTTCCAGCTTTACTTGAAACCCTCAAGAGGCTCTATAGTTTAGGAGCCAAGGTCCCCAGCAGTCCAGCCCAAATCTACCCAGTCAAATAATACTTGCATAGTGCTTTTCCCATCTCTCTCCCTTTGTGTATTATTCTCTCTTATACCATCCCTACTGGATATTAATCCCCATTTTACCTATACAGGAACTCTAAGTGGCTAGTGATATTAGAAGCATAGTCTGTGGGGGCGCCTGGGTGGCTCAGTTGTTAGGCGTCTGCCTTCGGCTCAGGTCATGATCCCAGGGTCCTGGGATCGAGCTCTGTATAGGGCTCCCTGTTCCGCGGGAAGCCTGCTTCTCCCTCTCCCACTCCCCCTGCTTGTGTTCCCTCTCTTGCTGTGTCTCTCCCTGTCAAATAAATAAATCTTAAAAAAAAAAAAAAGTATAGTCTGGCTGGAGGTTGTGCTCTTATCTATTATATTTTAGTAAAAATGCATCCATTAAAATTCAGAATTTAGAATACTTAATTACATGGTAAAGCATCTATGACAAATGTTTTGAATTTTAAATGTTTTATAAAACCATGTATAGTATGATTATAATCTAATAAAAGTGGTTTTATCTGTAAGGTGAGACTGGGGGTGATTTTTGTTTGCATGAGGTATTTTTCTGGATTTCCCAAACTTTTTACAATTAGTATGTATTACTTTTATAACAACAATCACCAAAAAGAATGGGGGAAATATGCTATGTAGCCTTTAAGACTCTCCTCAAACACTGGCATCACCGGCCTCTTCACTCCCTCACCACCACCACCACCATTTTGTACATTATTATCCTCTCTCCCCCTACCTTCTTTGAGAGTTAGGTGTGACTTAACACATTTCCCTGCCAAACTGAAAGGTCCTTGAATAAAGATGCTATGTCTTGCTTATTGTCACAACCCTCCATTCCTAGCCATTTTACCATTTCTTGCTGAAGCCAGGAGTTTAGATTTTTTAAGGCTGACTAAAATGCCAGCAATATCAGGGAAAAAAAGCCTATCCAGGATAAGAGCTATAATTTTGAGGAGTCCAGTGAAGTAGTCCTTTCACTACTTAAAAGCAATGGTTAAACCTGTTAACCTCAGGGGTGCCTGGGCGGTTCAGTGGGTTGAGCAACAGACTCTTGATTTCAGGGTCATGGGATCAAGCCCCATGTTGGGCTGCGCACTCGAGCGTGGAGCCTGCTTGGAATTCTCCCTCCTCCCTTTGCCCCTGCCCGCTTGCATGCTCCCTTTTTCTCTCTACAACTAAAAAAAATAATATATATATATTTTTAAACCTGTTAACCTTCAAAATAAAACTGTCCATTATCTTACTACCAAAAAAAAAAAGTCTATTCTGAAATAGCAGAGAACTGCATTTCCAGACACACAAGCTAGGGCTCTGCAAGTCTAGAGAACAAAGGTGAGGACGACCCTTTATAGAGGAACGGCTAAATTGAGAGGACTTTGTTATAAACAAAACGCCCATTGGAATAAACTGGGAGTTCTTTTTTTTTAAGATTTATTTATTTATTTGAGAGAGCGAGAATGAGAGAGAGAGAGTACATGAGAGGGGTGAGGGCCAGAGGGAGAAGCAGGCTCCTCGCCGCCGAGCAGGGAGCCCGATGTGGGACTCGATCCCGGAACTCCGGGATCATGACCTGAGCGGAAGGCAGTTGGTTAACCAACTGAGCCACCCAGGCGCCCTAAACTGGGAGTTCTAAGTGTAGTTGCTTTTCACAGCCTGAGTTGTGACAGTCTCTCATTGGCTGGGCTGCTGCTGGACAAAGAAATTCTTTCCTCCTGCTATGGTAGTAAAATAGTCTTTTTCCTATGGGGAATGCAAGGTAAGTCTCTTCCTGTTGGGGTCTGCAAGGAAGGAAGAGTGGTAGCGTATAAGAGCTCCCACATCTGGCTCCTGACTCCATTTTACTATATACATACGTACATATATATATATATATATATATTTTTTTTTTTTTTTAAGTAAATTCTGTACCCAACATTGGGCTCTAACTCATGATCCCAAGAACAAGAGTCCCATCCTCCATGGACTGAGCCAGTCAGGCACCCCTCCTGACTCCATTTTAAATGAGATTTCCTTTTATTAATTTTAAGAAATCAAACCGGATTCAAGAGTAGGTAAGTGGGAAAGAGAGTAGAGGGGAACCCAGACTGGAAAAACAAGTTCCTCTAACTCAGATCAATGGACTCTAGTGAAATTCTTCAATCCCTTCAGGACAAAAATGTATCTAGGAGGGGTGGCTCAGTCGGTTAAGTGTCTGCCTTCGGTTCAGGTCATGATCCCAGGGTCCTGGGATTGAGCCCCACATCAGGCTCCCTGCTTGTGCTGTCTCACTGTCAAATAATGAAATCTTTTATAAAAAAGTACGTAGGAGGGGCACCTGGGTGGCTCAGTCGGTTAAGCATCAGCCTTTGGCTCAGGTCATGATCCCAGGGTCCTGGGATCAAGTCCCACATTGGGCTCCTTGCTCAGCACAGAGCCTGCTTCTCCCTTTGCCTGCTGCTCCCCCTGCTTGTGCTCTCTCTCTCTGACAAATACATAAAATATTTTTAAAAATACATAGGAGTCCTTCATTTATGAATGGATCAATTGCTCATATGTATTGAGCACCTATTATATGCCAAGCACTGAAAATACGTTCAAGAGAAGAAAAGACAGATATGGTTCCTGACCTCAGGAGGCTTACAGAATGTCTATTGGGAGAGACTCTACACAAATAATCACATAGTTACTTGGACAATTATAAGGTAACTTGAATGATAATAGGCTAATTGTACAGTTGCTGGGGAAACCCAGTTTGGGAGGGAGTTTTGTTTATGTTTTGTTTTTTTAAAGATTTTATTTTTTTATTTGAGATAGAGGGAGGGGGAAGGAGGGGGAGAGGGGGAGGGGGAGGGAGAGAATCTCAAGCAGACTCCCCACTAAGCATGGAACTCTACGTGGGGCTGGATCTCAAAACCCTGAGATTTTTTTTTTTTTTAAGATTTTATTTCTTTAACAGAGAGACACAGCTAGAGAGGGAACACAAGCAGGGGGAGTGGGAGAGAGAGAAGCAGGCTTCCCGCGGAGCAGGGAGCCTGATGCGGGGCTCGATCCCAGGACCCTGGGACCACGGCCCGACCCGAAGGCAGACACCCAACGACTGAGCCACCCAGGTGCCCTCAAACCCTGAGATTTTGAGCTGAGCTGAAATCAAGAGTGGGAAGCTTAAAGGACTGAGGTTTTAATGAAAGAGGGCTATTTGTGCTGAGACCTGAAGAGTGTATATTTATGACATAGGGAGGTGGAGAGGAGAGGTTTAGAAAATTTGTTCTGGCAGAAGAAATGGCAAATATGAAGGGAAGACACATGGGCTAAGGCATTTCCTGAGACTGCAGCAGAAGGAGGGAGATCCAGCAGAGCAAGTTATAGGTTTTTCTTCTGTTGAATAATCCATTCTTTAACCCCCAAACAGCTCCTCCTTCTGTCCCTCTGACCTAGAAACCTGGCTTGAGAGCAATCTTGACAGCATCACACTTCCATTCAAGGCACCCAAATATTCTTATTTAAACACATTGAAAGGGAGCGCCTGGGTGGCCCAGTCGGTTAAACATCTGCCTGTGGCTCAGGTCATGATCCCAGGGTCCTGGGATTGAGCCCCACATCAGGCTCTCTCCTTAGCAGGAAGCCTGCTTCTCCCTCTCCCACTCCCCCTGTTTGTGTTCTCTCTCTTGCTGTCTCTCTCTCTGTCAAATAAATAAATAATCTTAAAAAAATAAAAAATAAAGCTCAAAACCTAGCATCCAACCCATTATCTGGCACATAATTATGTTTTGTAAATTACTTAAGAATTCAAGAAACAGGTGTACTTTGAAAATATATTTTTTTAAATACATTTTTAGGGGCGCCTGCGTGGCTCAGTCATTAAGCGTCTGCCTTCGGCTGTCATGATCCCAGGGTCCTGGGATTGAGCCCCGCTTCGGACTCCCTGCTCAGCTGGGAGCCTGCTTCTCCGTCTCCCACTCCCCCTGCTGTGTTCCCTCTCTCACTGTGTCTCTCTCCGTCAAATAAATAAAATCTTTAAAAAAATAAAATAAAATAAATGCATTTTTAGGGGGCCTAGGTGGCTCAGTTGGTTAAGCGACTGCCTTCGGCTCAGGTAATGATCTTGGAGTTCCAGTATGGAGTCCCGCACTGGGCTCCCTACTCTGCGGGGAGTTGGCTTCTCCCTCTGGCCCTCCCCCCTTCATGTGCTCTCCCTCTCTCTCAAATAAATAAAATCTTAAAAAAAAAATAAAGTGCATTTTTTAAAAAACGGATGTCATAGATAATTTTCCCAAGCTACAGACTCGCGTTTCCTTCTCTGCCTAGGCCCTCGGGTCCCTGAAGCCCCTTCCCGCGGACGTGGGGAGACCAGCTTGCTGAAAGGCTGGCTCCAGCCAGCAAGCGCGCTGAGCCTGGGGTTTGGCGGCGGAACCGCGGGGAGGCGGAACTTTGGGCTCGTGGAACTGTGGCCCTGCGGACGCCAGGAGGGAAGCATTCCCCCCTCCCCCGCCCCCGGCCCGGAAGGAGCTGATGGGAGCTGGGACATCGGCAGCCATAGCGCTTTCCAGTTCGAACTAGACGGGTGTAGGGCGGTCGCCAGGTGAGGAATTGCGATCTCTCCATTCGCAGGTGAGTGGAGGTCTCTTCTCCCGGTAGAACCGGCAGGCGGCAGCTGTGGATCCCAGGGAAGGTGCACTTTTCGGGCCTGAGCCCACCGGGGCCCCTGCTTGTGGCCAGGCGAGGAAGGGGTCCCTGTTTTCCTCTCCGGAGTCAGGCGGCACTAAGAGGAACGGGTTCGTTTCCCGCTCTGCGGTGGTCGCCGTGAGAGTCCTCTGGATAGTACACCTGCTGCTGTCAAACGGTGTCATTTCAGAAAAGAATGAGCTGACTATAAGCCGCAGATAAGCCCTTCCTTCCCCTCAGCCTCAGTTCCCTCACCTGATCAGGTGAAGGCGGCGGGGATCATTGACAGCTCAAGACCCTGTGACGCGGTGTTTTCAGTTCTCCCAATTAGTGTGGCGGCAAAGTGAGCTTCCTTACTAGTAGAAGTTAACGTTTGGCCATAGCCCAAGTCCCAGCTGAGTGGGAGAAAAGATAAACTGGTTGGGGGAAAACTAATGATTTTTAAATTGTTCCAAGATTTTTGAACAATATAGAAATTTGTTTTGACAGCAGCTGAAACTCTGACCTCATTGGCCCGAAGAACCAAACTCATTAGGAATGTATTTGGTACATTGGGCAAAACGAGGTGAGGGAATCCTTTTAACTTGAAAAATTAAACCTAGTATTATTTGCATATTTACCTGTCAAGCTCACTATTACCACGTGTCTTACTCTGAAGAATATCCTAAGTTCAGTGTTAAAATACCAGCTAAGGGTATGAAAGAAGGGGCGCCTGGGTGGCTCAGTCGGTGAAGCGTCTGCCTTCGGCTCAGGTCATGATCCCAGAGTCCTGGGATTGAGTCCCGCGTGGGCTCCCTGCTCAGCGGGGAGTCTGCTTTTCCCTCTGCCTCTTCCCCTGGCTTGTGCGTGCTCTCCCTCAAATAAATAAAATCTTAAAGAAAAAAAGAGTATGAAAGAAAAGGAAACATTTACTGTCTCCTGTTTGTGAGGTGCTAGCCATTCGCACAACAATTCATTAAGGAAGGTAATGGTATCTCTATTTTACAGATGGGGAATAAGGGGAGACTTACAATTTGTCAATAATTAGTGGTGCTGACATAGCAAAGCAATGTGTATATCTAATACTGTTTTGAGGATTTACATTCATTACCAAAATATTTGGAACTTTAAAAACTAATCTTATAGTTCAGTGGCATTTTCTGAGTTTGCAGAAAAGGACTGTTTTGCCTTTATTTTAGAAATGTTAGAGAAGCATTGTTAATCATTACAAAGATGAGCAGTTGAAAAAAGTACATTTTAATCATCCTTTCCTTGCACTTCAAGCAGGAATTGAGACAAAAGATTAGGCTATCAGAAATGAAAATCACTACCACATTATTTGAAGTTTATAAATCAGAATTCTGTATAATGATTATTTCTCCACCCTCTTCTTTGAGTATACTTGGTTGATACTCATTTAAATTACTTCTCTGTGGGCGCCTGGGTGGCTCAGTCGGTTAAGCGACTGCCTTCCGCTCAGGTCATGATCCTGGAGTCCCGGGATCGAGTCCCACATCGGGCTCCCTGCTCGGCGGGGAGTCTGCTTCTCCCTCTGGCTCTCTTCCCTCTCGTGCTCTCTATCTCTCATTCTCTCTCTCTCAAATAAATAAATAAATAAAATCTTTAAAAAAAATGATTTCTCTGCAAAACATAACTAAGCAAACACCTTTAAAATCATGCATTTGAAAAATTTCTCTTGTAAGTGATGAACCACTGAATTCTTCTGAAACCAATATGCACTGTATGTTAACTAACTAGAATTTAAATAAAAATTTAAAAAAAAGAAAACTTTCTCTTTGTTCTGTGTAACTTTTAAAATAATTTCAATTAAGAGTATTATAAGGGGGAGGGGGCGCCTGGGTGGCTCAGTCCTTAAGCGTCTGCCTTCAGCTCAGGTCATGATCTCAGGGTCCTGGGATTGAGCCCCGCTTCGGGCTCCCTGCTCAGCCGGGAGTCTGCTTCTCCCCCTCCCCCTGCTTGTGTTCCCTCTCTCACTGTGTCTCTCTCTGTCAAATAAATAAATAAAATCTTAAAAAAAGAGCATTTTAAGGGGGCTTCTGGCTTGCTCAGTCAGGGGGGAATGCTACTCTTGATCTTGGGGTCATGAGTTCAAGCCCCATGTTGGGCCTAGAGCTTTTTAAAAAAAAGTATTTTAAGGATTGAATTTGTCACTGTTTATATCAATTCTCATTTTCCTTTTTTTTTTAGATTTTATTTATTTATTTGACAGAGAGAAACAGCGAGAACAGGAACACAAGCAGGGGGAGTGGGAGAGGGAGAAGCAGGCCCCCTGCTGAGCAGGAAGCCTGATGTGGGGCTCGATCCCAGGACCCTGGGATCATGACCTGAGCCGAAGGCAGACGCTTAAAGACTGAGCCACCCAGGCGCCCCTCGGTTTTCACTTTCTTAATTCAGTACAGGCAAGTTCAGTACTTAGACTCACAACAACCTTATTCATAATATAGCGTTCTTTCCCCCTTCTCTTACTCTTAAAAAAATCCTATTTATATTTGTCACAGATTTAACCTTTCAATTGAGTGTCATTTTTGCCTAAAGGAAACTTGAGTTTGTACTTTTGGTTGATTACATGAACCCAAAGGTCTAATTCCATTACTATGATTGCTATGCATTCAATCATAAAATGTTTTTTTGAGTTTTGTATTTGCATCACTATTTCAAAACTTTAAAGGCTATAGAAAGAAAATCTAAGAATTTTAGGGGAAAATATTTATAAAGTCAGCACTGTCTTGAAACATTTAACATTATTACTTTCCATCCTTGGTAATACACATGGCCTTGCTGAAATTCTATAAAACATGGTCAAGCAGAATTTGGTCTCATATTTCTAGTACTATTTGAATTTGTTTTTTTTTTTTTAAAGATTTTGTTTATTTATTTGAGAGAGAGAATGAGAGAGAGAGTACATGAGGGGGGGGGAAGGTCAGAGGGAGAAGCAGACTCCCCACTGAGCAGGGAGTCCGATGCGGGACTTGATCCTGGGACTCCAGGATCATGACCTGAGCCGAAGGCAGTCGCTTAACCAACTGAGCCACCCAGGCGCCCCTAGTACTATTTGAATTTGAAAGAGAAGTGTGCATAATTTCTAAATGAGCATAATTTCTAAATAAGGTAGCTTACTGATCTTATGGAATTATATACATTTTTATCATAAACCTGATGAAGATGGGTAGAAAATTATGATTAATCTTTTCTAGTAAATATCTTTACCTAGAGTTGAAGGAAACTATTCATCTTTACCTAGAGTTGAAGGAAACTATTCAAACTATTCTGGTGACAGTCAATGACAATGTTGTTAATATTTAAAGTAAAGACATTCATGGGACCCCTGGGTGGCTCAGTCGGTTGGGCGTCTGCCTTTAGCTCAGGTCATGATCCCAGGGTCCTGGGATCGAGTCCCACATCGGGCTCCGTGCTCCCTTCTCCCTCTCCCCCTGCTGCTCCCCCTGCTTGTGCTCACTCGCTCTTTCTCTCTGATAAATAAATAAAATATTAAAAAAATAATTTTTTTTTTTTTTTGGCCTGGGTGGCTCAGTCGTTAAGCATCTGCCTTCGGCTCAGGTCATGATCCCAGGGTCCTGGGATCAAGCCCCGCATCAGGCTCCCTGCAACGCGGGAGGCCTGCTTCTCCCTCTCCCACTCCCCCTGCTTGTGTTCCCTCTCTCGCTGTGTCTCGCTGTCAAATAAATAAATAAAATCTTTAAAAATAAATAAATAAAGACATTCATGAAAAATATTAAAAACTTCTTGGGGCGCCTGGGTGGCTCAGTCGTTAAGCGTCTGCCTTCGGCTCAAGTCATGATCCCAGGGTCCTGGGATCGAGCCCCGCATTGGGCTCCCTGCTCCTCGGGAAGCCTGCTTCTCCCTCTCCCACTCCCCCTGCTTGTGTTCCCTCTCTCGCTGTGTCTCTCTCTCTCAAATAAATAAGTAAAATCTTTAAAAACAAACAAATAAATAAATAAAATCTTAAAAAAAAATTCTTCATATTGGGGCGCCAGGGTGACTCAGTCGGTTAAGCGTCTGACTGTTGATTTCGGCTTGGGTTGTGAAATCGAGCCCCGAGTTGGGCTCAGCTCTGGGTATGGAGCCTGCTTAAGATTCTTTCTCCCTCTCCCCATCCCTCTTTCTCTCTCTCCCCATCTCTCTCTCAAAAAATTTTTTTTCATATTAGAATACTGAAATCTTTCAATTTTTTTTTTAAGATTTTATTTATTTGACAGAGACAGAGAGAGAGACAGCGAGAGAGGGAACACAAGCCAGGGGAGTGGGAGAGGGAGAAGCAGGCTTCCCGCTGAGCAGGGAGCCCGATGCGGGGCTCGATCCCAGGACCCTGGGATCATGCCCTGAGCTGAAGGCAGACGCTTCACAACTGAGCCACCCAGGCACCTCTTTCAGTATTCTTGTTAATATTGAAGTTAACTTGAAAATTGGCATTTAGAGTTTGTACTTTTGAGGAGGCACCTGGTTCAGTTGGTAGGGTGTACAACTCTTGATCTCAGGGTTGTGAGTTCAAACCCAATGCTGGGTGTAGAGATTACTTAAAAAATAAAATTGTTAAAAATAAAATTTGTGTTTTGAATTTCAGTTAATTTAGTTGGAATGAGTTAATGCCACTTTACGTTGTGTAGTATACAAAATATTTTCAGGTACACTATCATAATTAATCTTTTTTTTTTTTAACACTTTATTTGAGAAAGAGAGAGCATGAGAAGGGGGGAGGGCAAAAGGAGAGGGAGAAGCAGGCTCCCGCTGAGCAAGGAGCCTGCTGCAGGGCTCCATCCCAGGACCCTGCTTGGGAGCATGACCTGAGCCAAAGGCAGATGCCCAACTTACTGAGCCACCCAGGCGCCCCACATAATTAATCATTCTTAAAACTCTGTGAGACAGATAGTATTCCTATTATAGGTAAGAAGAAATTAGAGCTCAGAAAGACTGGCTTTCCCAGAATGAAATAATAGTATTTCAAAAGATGCATATTAAATCCTGATTTTTAAAATTCTAGGATAGGGGCACCTGGGTGGCTCAGTCATTGAGCGTTTGCCTTCGGCTCAGGTCATGATCCCAGGGTCCTGGGATCGAGCCCTGCATTGGGCTCCCTGCTCTGCAGGAAGCCTGCTTCTCCCTCTCCCACTCCCTCTGCTTGTGTTTCCTCTTTCGCTGTGTCTCCCTCTCTGTCAAATAAATAAATAAGTAAATAAATAAAATCTTAAAAAAAATAAATAAAATTCTAGGATAGTTACTCACTTTCACCATGGCCCTACCATCCTTTGCTTCCCAAACTTAATAATGTATTGTTCCTATAATGCTACTCTGGTGTTATATTTGCCTTTTTAAACCATTGGAGCTTTTATTTTTATTTATTTTTTTAATAGCTTTATTGAAATATAGTTCACATACCATAAAATTTATCCTATTAAAGTATACAATTCAGTGTTTTTAGTATATTCACAGTGTTATGCAGCCATCACCACTATCTATTCCAGAACATTTTCATCACCCAAAAAGAAACCCAGTACCTATGAGCAGTCACTCCCAGTTTCCCCTTACCTCCCTCATCTGACAACCACTAACTTACTCTGAGAACTTACATGTTCAGGACATTTCATGTAAATGGAATCATTCATGTAAGTTTAATGGGAGAAGGCTTTAAGCAGTTATTTGTAATCTGAGAGGTTCTGCTCCATTCTACTTTTGTACTGATTTTCATGTTACTGGAGTAGATCACTTTTCTAATCTGCATAGGCACTTTTCCTGTTTGTTGTTCATGCAATAAATAAATCTGCTGACGTGTATATGTTTCCTTATTCTTGACCTTTGCTCTTCACATGTCTAATAGTGTGTTCATGGTGTTGTGTAACCTGTTCTCAGGGCTCAGGTATCTGTTTGTGGCTAAGTAACATTTATTCTTAGTTGGGCATTTTTATTTCTACTTTAAAATGACTAATGCTTCCTACCTTGTTTTAAGGTTCTTAGAAACCACAACTTTATTGAAATATAAATATCTCATTATCTTCTAAAGCAGAGTTTCCCATATATGTTAATAAATTATTTCTCTAGGGACAAATTTTACAACAGCAAATTTGGACCATCTTTATGCAAAAAATCGTTTTTCCTTCAAGTCTTACCCCATTCTACTCTCTGTCAGTTTCATGGCTTTCGCCTACTAACAGTCATCTTCAGTGAGGACTTCTTTTTTTAGTAAACTCTGTCCTCAATGTGGGGTTCAAACTCATGACCCCGAGATCAAGAGTCACATGCTCCACTGACAGCCAGCCAGGCACCCCTTCAATGAGGACTTTGTCACTTGATTCATAGTCTTGCTCTCTCTAGCCCCGCGTTCTTCCTGGTGATTGTGCTGTCATCGTGGACAGTATACCATGTAGCCTGGCTTCCCCTTTCTTTCACTCCAGCTTTCTTCATCTGTCTGTGCCAGAGATGGGCCTTGGAATTTGCCACCATCCAGACCCGATCCTCTGGAAATTTTGAACCCCACACTCTACTCCAGTTTGCTGACACAATTCTGCTCCACCTTTCACTTTTCTTGCCCTTTTACTATGCCTATGTGTGTCTACAGTTGCTTTTCGACCAGAGATTTTCCCCGTTCTCTTAGTTCTCTTCTGTGAGAAGCCTGCCTTTGCTGCCCAGTTTATCCCCAGGTACTAGCTGCCTTTATACCTTTATTCACACAGCCTGAACTTTTGATCATATCACTTCAGCCTCTCACTAGTACTCTCAAATTCCTGTTCCCCTTGTCTTTTTTCAGTTCCTAATCCCTGTTCACTCCATTTCTGTAAAGCTGATCCTCGCTGGGAGGGAGTGGCCGGGAGAGGGGGAGGTTGGAAATCCATGCAGATGGACGGTGCTGTGAATGTTTTTCAGCCCCAGCCAAGCACTTGGCCCTTTTTAGCAGTCTTTTAACTTGATCTTTTCCCCACAGTAGCTATTCGAATCCTCACTCTGCTCCTCAGAAAATTCTCAGTACCCCTTCTCCACTTTTGGAGTCTGATTCCTGCTGCCTCCACTGTATGTTCCCTGGCCCTGCTTCCTTCTACTCTTAGAGGTGATGTGCTCTCAGCCCTGGCTCCTCTTATGAGACTGTGCCCCTTTTTGCAATTCCTTCCTTCCCTTTCTCGCTCATCTTTAACCTCTCCCTTTCTGCTAGCTCCTTCTTACCAACAAACTTACCCTTCCTTAAGAGGAAAATCCCACTTCTGTCCTTCCATTTCAGACTCTTTGAAAGAGGACTCTTCCCTTACTGCCTCCAGCTACTGACCGTCTGTCCTACTACTTCTCCATACTGACAGCAACCAGGTATGAAGTACTTATTTTGTGCATTTTATCTCAGCTTGATCTTTACAGCACCCTGAGAGTTTTGCAAAAGAAACTGTAGCTTGTTCTAAGGTCACACAGTTAATGACTCTTGGAGACCCAGCCCTGCTGTGCTCTAAGTACTGGCCTTGGGCTCTCCTGGACTTCCACTCTGCTGTGGGTGACTCAGGCTCTCAGCGGTGGTCTCCTGTCACAAAGCAAGCTGTGACATCTCTGTAGTGGTACTGATGGGGCTAACTTCTTTCCACCTTTGCCACCGTCTCTTCTTGGTTTTTTTTGTTTTGTTTCTTTAAGATTTTATTTATTTGAGGGGCATCTGGGTGAGTGGCTCAGGTCATGATCCCAGGGTCGTGGGATCGAGCCCTGCATCGGGCTCCCTGCTCAGCCAGAGGCCTGCTTCTCCCTCTCCCTCTCCCCCTGCTTGTGTTCCCTCTCTCTCTGTGTCTCTCTCTGTCAAATAAATAAATAAAATCTCTAAAAAAGATTTTATTTCTTTGAGAGAGTGAACAAGAGAGAGAGCACAAGCGGGTAGAAGGGCAGAGGGAGAGGGAGAAGCAGACTCCCCTCAGAGCAGGGAGCCCGATGTGGGGCTCGATCCCAGGACCCCCCGCTCATGACCTGAGCAGAAGGCAGATGCTTAACTGACTGAGCCCACCCAGGCGCCCCTCTTCTCGTTCTATCCTTGCTGGGTTCTGTTGGTTCTTCCACTCCTCTGTCCCTTAAAGATCATCTCAAGTGAAAACTCATTTCTTCCATAGCATTTGGCTGGTGCTTGAGGCAGGAGGCCTTTAGGTAGAATTGGTGGGAGAAATTCATTTGTTGGTTGGGATGGAGAATGGGCAGAGGTTTTAAGGTGGTAAAGTATAGGTCACCGGCAGTGAATGGCAAGTGGTTTACTTTGGCCCAGGGAAGGCTACAAGTAGGGAAGATTTAAGCTTGTAAAGGTGACCAAAAGATAGATAGTGGAAGTTCTGGAATATTGGACGAGGAATTTGAATCATTTCTCAGCCCACAGACCTCCAGTGGCTCTCTATGCATAGGTATAGGGTGGCTATATAATTTCACACCTAATCAGGATGCTTTTGAGAGTGAAAGGAAGCACTATGAATAATTGTACTGAGCTAACTTTGCTGAGACTGTCCCCAGCAAGCTGGGAGTTATAGTCACCCTAACCATGCAGTAAATCAAGTCTAAGATGGTATTTTGATGAAGCCACTCTGGAGGGTGTGTACAGAGTGGTACAAACAAAATTTGAAGTTAAGATGGTAGTTTGGGAATGTGATTTAAGGTCTTCACTAACTGGTTCCTATAGGAATCGAAGAAAGCTTGAGACTGCAGAAATTGATAGAGCTGGGGAATAACTAACTGGATGTGTGATGTGAGGGAGGAGGAATTACGTGTCAGAGTCATAAGCTGGAGTGATTAAAAAAATGGTATGTAACCATTTAAACAAATATAGCCTTTGTTATAAAGCCACTGCAGTGTAAGAGAAAGGGAACGGACTTAGAAGTCAGAAAGACCCGTGTTTAGAACTTGGATGTGCCAATCCCCAATACTTGAGTTTTAGCTATTGTAACTTCAGTTTCTTCTTCTGTAAAATGGGAACAGTAATGTATTTACTTGGGGGCCCAGTCGGTAGAGCATGCGTGACTCTTGATCTTGGGGTCCTCAGTTCAAGCCCCACATTGGGCATGGAGCCTACTCAAAAAATATATATATATATTTACTTTGAAAGGTTGTTGGGGTGTTTTAGTGGTGACATTCACAAAGTGCCTAGTCCTGTGGGCCACATGGTAGAAGAAATAAGAGCAGCTAATGCTGAATGCTTCCTCCATGCCAGATGCTAAGTGGTTTGTGTATAGTAATGGATTTAATCTTCACAACCATCTCAGGTAGCTACTGTTATTCCCAGTTTACAGGTAAGGAAATTGAAGTAACTTGCCTAAGGTCGGTGGTAAAATCCTGGCTCCGTAGTTCTTGTTCTTTTTTTTAAAAAAAGTATTTATTTTTTGACAGGAAGAGAGAGAGCAAGAGAGGGAACACAAGCAGGGGGAGTGGGAGAGGGAGAAGCAGGCTTCCCACTGAGCAGGGAGCCAGACGTGGGGCTCGATCCCAGGACCCTGGGATCATGACCTGAGCCGAAGGCAGATGCTTAATGACTGAGCCACCCAGGCGCCCGCGTAGTTCTTGTTCTTAACCTTTCAACAAATCATAATGCTCATGGGGGTAGCTGTTATTTCTTGTTAGCTTTGCTTTATTAAATTGAAAGACTGATTCAATATTGTTTCTTATATCAATATGTTATGGGTAGCAAGCATGAAGACCAAATGCCTAAATTTAGCCTCAGATTTGTTTCTCATTCTGACTTACGCCTCCCTTGTGAGCACCTGTTGACTGATGCTAAGTTTGCAGCCCCCTAACCTGTCCCATCATTTCACAGTACCAGACTTTTTGCTGTCCCCACTTAGTTTCACACCGCTGCACATAGTATAACAACCACTTAGCAAACTCTTATTTAATCTTCAAGATTCAGGCTGAACATCATCTTAGGGACACCTGAATGGCTTAGTCGTTAAGGGTCAGCCTTCGGCTCAGGTCATGATTCAAGCCCTGCATCGCATCAGGCTCCCTGCTCAGCCCGAAGCCTGCTTCTCCCTCTCATACTCCCCCGTTCGTGTTCCCTCTCTTGCTGTCTCTCTCTCTCTGTCAAATAAATAAATCTTAAAAAAACAAACAAACAAAACAAACCTTTCCTTAGCTACAACTTGTTGTCTCTGTAGAACTGTGTAGAGACAAGGAGGACTGATTTTCTCTTTTTCTGTACAGAGCATAAAGTACATTTGTGAGCATACCATACCCCTTCCTACTGCATTACTTCTTTTTATTCTGATTTTACACTGTTATGATCATTCATCCCCTAATAGCTTATGATTTACAATATGGGCAGTCTTTTTCTTTGTGTTTGTATAAGTTTTGAAATTCTATAGGGTAAGTTGTTAACCATCCTAGATAATATCCTATTCAGTTTTAACATTTTTCAGTTGAATTACATTTGTGTAGCTAACTTACCTCTCTAGACTTTAATCTTTTCAAGAGAAAGAGCCATGTTTATCATCAGTATTTGTATCCCCCAGGGTGTCTAGCTTAGGACCATGGACATGATATGAACTTGGTAATCACTATTGAATTAAATAAAATGTTTCAATACGCCACTGCTTTATTTGATTCCCTAGAGTAAAAATTATGATTCTATTTGAAAAACATACATCTTACCTAAAAATCTTCAGAAAAGATAAGCCACTTGTATACATTTTCTGTGACTACAAGTTTCAATTTCTACATCACCTAGAATAATAATAGAATGAGATATAATTTTCAACTTGAGTAAAATAAGAACTTCTAAGGTACTCGATTTTTTTTTTTAAGATTTATTTTAGAGAGAGAGAGTGAGCAGTGGTGAGGGGCAGAGGGGACAGTCTTTTTTAAAGATTTTATTTATTTGTTATGTCAGAGAGAGAGCGCGCACAAGCAGGGGGAGGGGCAGAGGGAGAGGGAGAAGCAGACTCCCCACTGAGCAAGGAGCCCGATGTGGGACTTGATCCCAGGACTCTGGGATCATGACCTGAGCTGAAGGCAGATGCTTAACCAACTGAACCACCCAGGCGTCCCTGGATTTTTCTATATATGGCTCTTCTAGTTCTCATTCTTGTGCTGCTGACATACGAAACTTTATAATTTGTGAGTCATTCTCAGTCAGGAATGGACTGGTTGCAAGAGCAAAATTTTGCTCTGGCGAGTTCAAGTCAGGGGATGGAAGAGTGGAGAGGCTATTGCCTGGATCCAGGGAATCTCCTAGTAAATACTGCTAGGCCTTCTAAACTGGAGGTAGGTGTCTCTTTTTTGTCTCTCATTTTCAGGGCAATGTAATCTCTTAACACCTTATCCTCTAGCAATTCTGAGTTTGCTGGGCCTGTCTGGATCAGGTTGGCAGCCCACTGACAGAGGTGGTTAAAGAAAGCAGTGTTGTGTGTCACACTTTGTCTAAAGAATGTCAAAGATAGCAGAACCTTTCAAATTGTTTGGACTTGGCCCAAGTTTTGGGCCTGGGTTTTGTTTAGCTCTAGAAAATGAACTTTGTTGATCTGAAAGTGTATTTTTGTATATGTGATCTTTCATTTCTCCAGGATTTTTTTCGTCTTCTTTCCATATTAGCTTTATTAGTTATCAAGCCCCTGTCAAGTAAATGCTAAACGGAACTATACTCTGCATTTTCTACTGTGATTTAAGAAAATGTTTTTTACAAACTGAGGGTTCTAGAGGGGAGGGGCTGGGGGGATGGGTTAGCCTGGTGATGGGTATTAAAGAGGGCACGTTCTGCGTGGAGCACTGGGTGTTATGCACAAACAATGAATCATGGAACACTACATCAAAAACTAATGATGTAATGTATGGTGATTAACATAATAAAAAATTTAAAGAAATAAAAAATGTTTTTTAACATTCAGTAATATGATTAAAATTTGCAAAATGCAGAAAGATGACAGACCCAGAAATTTACCACCTGTTACCATTTACTACAAAAGACCAAAAGTAAGGGTTTTTACTCCACAAAGGTATAATCAGACTTGGAAACTTACTATCATAAATTTCCTTTTTTCCTCTCTTTCTCTTTGCTCTTCCTTCCCCTACTCTAAGGTTTTGGTACCTATTTCATAGACCATATATACTTCATTTAACTTACTGTTGAATATAGATTATTTCCAAAATTTTTCTTACATAATGCTTTGATGCACATCTGAATATATGATTGTCCGTATTTAGGACAATTTCTAAAAGTAGAATTCTTGGGGGGCACTTGGGTGGTCACTTGGTTAAGCATCCGACTCTTCATCTCAGCTCAGGTCTTGATCTCAGGGTTGTGAGTTAAAGCATACCTTAAATAAGTAAGTAGAATTCTTGGGTCAAACAGTATAACATATATTACTGGCGAATTAGTTATTAAAAAGATTTGCATCAATTTATATTGCTATTAACTGCCTCTCTTACGACATCTTTTCCAGTTCTGGCTGTTAAAGTTCATTTTTGTGTTTGCCACTCTGATTGGCAAATAATGGTCTCTAGTTTTTTAATTAAAAATTTTTTTTGGTTTTTTAAAAATAGAGGGCTTTTACTTTTTTCTTTCCTTTTTTTTAAGATTTTATTTATTTATTTTAGAGAGAGAGAGTTAGAACAAAAACACCAAGCAGGGAGAGTGGGAGAGGGAGAAGCAGACTCCCCGCTGAGCAGGGGGCCCGATGCGGGGCTCGATCCCAGGACCCTGGGACAATGACCTGAGTCGAAGGCAGACGCTTAACCGACTAAGCCACCCAGGCGTTCCCCCCCGCCTTTTTTTTTTTTTTAAGATTTTATTTATTTGAGAGAGAGAATGAGAGATAGAGAGCATGAGAGGGAAGAGGGTCAGAGGGAGAAGCAGACTCCCTGCTGAGCAGGGAGCCCGATGCAGGACTCGATCCCGGGACTCCAGGATCATGACCTGAGCCGAAGGCAGTCGCTTAACCGACTGAGCCACCCAGGCGCACCCCCCCCCGCCCCCCCGCTGCCGCCTTTTTTTAAAGTAAGCTGTACACCCAGCATGGGGCTTGAACTCCCTACCCTGAGATCAAGAGTTGAATGTTCTACCAGTTAAGCCAGCCAGGCACCCCACTAGTTTGTATTTTAATGGCATTTTGGTTTCTATGCATCAGTATAGATCAGATTAGATCACCCTGGGTAAGAAGGGCTAACTCCTTATAGTAAGGTTGTTGTAGGATTATTTACTCAGAGTTCCTCTTTAATGTTGTTGTTAAATGTTGACTACTGAATTCAAAACACTTTCTTTTTCAGACTCTATAAGATTTGGATATGTCCTTCATATTTGACTGGATTTACAGTGGTTTCAGCAGTGTGCTACAGTTTTTAGGTATGTTGGCTCTTTGTTCTCTATGGTTATCCCATTTAATCCTACTTAAATAAAAGTGCTTATTTGTCTAGAGCCTCTTTATATATAACCCAGTAGTTGCGAATGTGGGCTTTGAAATCATACAAACATGTTCAGTTACTCATTGTATCTCTTATAAATTATGTAGTCTTGGGCAAATTACTTTCTCCACCTTAACCTTAGTTTCCTTATCTGTAAATTAAAAATAATTCCTACCCCTTAAGATTGTTGATAGGAATATTATTTATAGGAATAGCTACCTTTGATTAGCCAGTTTACCTAAGTGCTTTAGATACTTTATCTCATTTAATCCTCACAGGAATTCTCTGCATTATTTTTGTTACTCTAAAATGCACATTCCATAAAGTGCCTTGTATATCATAACTGGTAGCATATAGTCTGCTAAATGAGACTTGTTTACCCAGCAAATCTGGCTAGTGATTTTCCTCTCTTCTGTAGATTTTAAAGAGGGAAAATTTTAGCATCTCATTCTCTTATTGACACTCTTAACTTCTCATATTTTCCAGCGAAACAAGCTTTTGATTAACTTTTATATTACGACATAGACAATTTTATTATAGTAATTAATGAAGATATTTCTGGTCTCCTATTTTCAAATCATGCTCTAAGTTTAGTCTCCATGTAATCATCATCTTGAACTGGAACAAAGAGAAACATTTCATGTAATTACAGAGTTGTCAACATAATTCCTGACTGGCCACAACCGTACTTATGAATTATAATCTCCTGTATAAATGGCTCTTTTTCCACAAACATAATTTTAACAAAGGAAATAAATTTTGTTTGGAAAATACACATTTTGTTTGACTATTATATATAAAAGGATAATGTAAGATCAAATTTTGTCAATCTATTTTTTTTTAAAGATTTTATTTATTTATTCGACACACAGAGAGAGCGAGAGAGAGAGGGAGAGGGAGAGAGCACAAGCAGGGGGAGTGGCAGGCAGAGGGAGAAGCAGGCTTCCTGCATGAGCAGGAAGCCCGATGTGGGGCTCGATCCCAGGACCCTGGGATCATGACCTGGGCTGAAGGCAGCAGTTTAACCAACTGAGCCACCCAGGCAACCCTTGTCAATCTATTTTTATTTCTTATTTGAACCTCAATGTTTGCACATTTTTAAAAATCAAGGTTTTCTTTTTCCTTTTTAAACTAAAATTCCTCACATTTTATACTGTCACTCTACTACAGGTCAAATATCAGATCTCTCTATATTACCTCCTCAAGAATTCTTAAATATTTTTATCAGACTGAAATATTTTATTACGTATTTTTAACATCTGGGTCAGAAATAAACATTTTAAACTTCATTAGACTGGGATAACCCAGGTTGTAACAGGTTGGTATCTGTATCTCAGTTTATAGAAAAATTAATCTATGCTGAACTATGTTGAAAAAGCAAAATAGGGTGCCTGGGTGGCTCAGTTGGTTAAGCGACTGCCTTCGGCTCAGGTCATGACCCTGGAGTCCCAGGATCGAGTCCCGCATCGGACTCCCTGCTCAGCGGGGAGTCTGCTTCTCCCTCTGACCCTACCCCCTCTCGTGTGCTCGCTCTCTCTCTCATTCTCTCAAATAAATAAAATCTTTAAAAAAAAAAAAGCAAAATAAATTGCCTCATAAGCAGAAGCAAGAGGTTAATAGGGCTAACAGTAGGAGGCAGTGTAGAGAAATGAAATGAACCAAAGCTTTGGCATCAGGCATGGTTTCAAATCTCCTATCTGACTTCGGCATTTGAGCAAGTTAACTTTGAGCCTTTGTTCCCCTCTGTAAAAAAAGAGGATAATAATGTTTACTTCAAAGAGTTATTTTGTTTTGTTTTGTTTTTTTAATTTTATTTGAGAGAGTGAGAGAGAGCGAGCACAAGAGGGGGTAGGGTCAGAGGGAGAAGCAGACTCCCGGCTGAGCAGGGAGCTTGAGCAGGACTCGATCCTGGGACTCCGGGATCATGACCTGAGCCGAAGGCAGTCGCTTAACCAACTGAGCCACCCAGGCACCCTTCAAGAGTTACTTTGAAGATTAAATGATGTGTAACAGTTTGCTTAATAGTGTCTATCACAAAATAAGGATTTAGTTGGGCGCCTGGGTGGCTCAGTCCTTAAGCATCTGCCTTCGGCTCAGGTCATGATCCCAGAGTCATGGGATCGAGCCCCGCATCGGGTTTCCTGCTCAGTGGGAAGCCTGCTTCTCCCTCTACCACTCTCCCTGCTTGTGTTCCCTCTCTGTCAAATAAATAAATAAAATCTTTAAAAACATTAAAAAAATAAGGATTTAGTCCAACCCACTTTAAAGGTTAAAGTTTAAACATCGTAGGTGTTCCCTTTTGGAATCTTATCCAGTGCACTTTTACTACTTAAAAGGATGGTAAGATTGATTGTGATTGCACTGGTTAGAAACATTCGATGTAGAAATGTTTTAAGAAATAGGAATGTGGGTCACCTGGGTGGCTCAGTTGTTAGGCGTCTGCCTTTGGCTCGGGTCATGATCCCAGGGTCCTGGGATCGAGCCCTGCATCAGGGAGCCTGCTTCTCCCTCTCCCACTTCCCCTGCTTGTGTTCCCTCTCTCACTGTGTCTCTCTCTCTGCCAAATAAATAAATAAAATCTTTAAAAAAAAAAAAGAAAAAGAAAAGAAATAGAAATGTAGGGGCACCTGGGTAGCTCAGTCTGTTAAGCATCTGCCTTCGGCTCAGGTCATGATCTCGGTCCTGGGATCGAGCCCCACATTGGGCTCCCTGCTCAGTTTGGAGTCTGCTTTTCCCTCTCCGCTTTTGCTTTCTCTCTAATAAATAAAAATTAAAAAAAAAAAAAGAAATACAAATGTATAAAAAATTATTAGTCACAATTCATGATTAAGTGAGAAATGTAGTATCCCAGCTCAAGTAAATATGGAAGACAGTCTTCCCCTTAGGATCAGAATTGTTGGTCACTGGGTTATTAAAAGTTTAGGACTTCAAACAATTTACTTCTTAAGCTTCAATGTGGATAAAGAATTGGGTGTTATTTTGGCATGAACTTATTAAATGGGTAGCCTGAATTACAATGCCTAATATCTTTAAAAGTTCATTTATTGATTGAGTAAATATTTTTGGGATGGCTACCATGTCCCCGGGTCCTCATGTAATTCCATGGGTGTCAATTTAAACACATGAAACATAAAGTTCAATATTACTACATAACCTATTAGAATGTTCAAAAGCTGGACATTGACAACACCAGATGCTGACAAGGATGTAGAGCAGCAAGAACTTTCATTCACTCCTGGGAATGCAAAATGGTACAGATGATTTGGAAGATTGGGTGATTTCTTACAAAACTAGACATACTCTTACCATACAATCCAGCAGTTGTGCTCTTTGGTATTTACCCAAAGGAGTTGAAAACGGTGTGAACCTGCACACTGATGTTTTATAGCAACTTCATTTATAATTGCCAAAACTTGGAAGCAACCAAGATATCCTTCAGTAGGTGAATGGAGAAATAAACTGGTTCATCTAGACAAAGGAGTATTCAGCACTAAAAAGCCATGAAAAGATATGGAGGAAGCTGAAATGTATATTCCTAAGTGGAAGAAGCCAATCTCAGAAGGCTACATACTGTCTGATTACAACTATATGACATTCTGGCAAGGTAAAAAGGCAGAAATATGGAGACAGTAAAAAGATGAGTGGTTGCCAGGCGGGGGGGTAAGGTGGGATGAACAGGCAGAGCTTATAGGATTTTTAGGGCAGTGAAAACACTTTGTATGATATTATAATGATGGATATATGTTCTTATATGTTTGTCAAAATACAGAATATACAATACTAAAAGTGAGCCCTAAGGTAACTCTGGGTGATTATGATGTATCAGTGTAGATTCATCGTTGGTTAAAAATGTACCATTTGGGGGCGCCTGGGTGGCTCAGTCATTAAGCGTCTGCCTTCGGCTCAGGTCATGATCCTAGGGTCCTGGGATCGAACCCCACATCGGGCTCCCTGCTCAGCGGGAAGCCTGCTTCTCCCTCTCCCACTCCCCCTGCTTGTGTTCCCTCTCTTGCTGTGTCTCTCTCTGTCAAAAAAAAAAAAAAAATCTTGGGTGCCTGGGTGGCTCAGTTGGTTGATCGACTGCCTTCGGCTCAGGTCATGATCCTGGAGTCCCAGGATCGAGTCCCGCATCGGGCTCCCTGCTCAGCGGGGAGTCTGCTTCTCCCTCTGACCCTCCCCCCTCTCATGTGCTCGCTCTCTCTCTCTGTCTCTCAAATAAATAAAATCTTTAAAAAAAAAAATCTTTAAAAATGTACCATTTTTGTGAGTGATGTTGATAATGGGGAAGGCTGTATATGTGTGGGGACAGGTGTTTTGTCAGTTTATTTTAAAACTCAGTTTTGTTGTAAACCTAAAACTGCTCTGAAAAAAAGCCTTTTAAAAAATAAAGCTCAATTTTTAATTTCGCAGTAAATGCCAATCTCTTCTAAATTGGTCAGTGCTCTTTTTTCTCTCACTTCCTCTACCAGTATTAGTTGATACATGTAAATTATGTGCTTGGTTTTTTGTTTTGCTTTAGTTTTATGCAAACCTGTGAATAGTTTAACCATATTCTCAGGGAAATTTGACAGTGACCTAAACTTTTTATTGAAAAAATTCACTATGATTTTTATTGTCAAAAGTGCTTAAACTTATTTTCATCCATGAAAAATCTAATTTTCCTTTTTTTTTTTTAAGATTTTATTTATTTATTTGACAGAGAGAGACACAGTGAGAGAGGGAACACAAGCAGGGGGAGTGGGAAGGGGAAAAGCAGGCTTCCCGAGGAGCAGGGAGCCCGATGCGGGGCTCCATCCCAGGGCCCCAGGATTATGACCCGAATCGAAGGCAGACGCTCAATGACTAAGCCACCCAGGCGCCCCTCCTTTTTTTTTTTTTTTGTAAGATTTTTATTTATTCATTTGACAGAGAGAGACACAGCAAGAGAGGGAACACAAGCA